ACCTCTTGGCACAAAAGGACCAGGCAGTACTTTCAGTTGTTCTGCAAGGAGGGTGAGAAGAGCACAGTACTACACCAGGACTCCTTGTAGCAACTCCGTATTTAGCAACTCTGTACTCTCCCAAACATCAAATTTTATGCAGCCAGAGATGAATAAAAACCCAACAGAAGTTAGCGCAGTGCGTAAACAGGCAGGCAGCCACGTCCAGACGTTCGCAGTGGCTGATCTGCTCTTGCTGCAGTCAGCAGATGCAGAGCCCCAGGTAAAGGGCAGGGTTCTGCAGTGAAACAGGTGAAATGATGAAAATATGTGAGCACCCTCCTTAGGCAGCCTCAGCTTGCACACAAGTCACAGGGAACTGCCATTGCTCTGGCTACAGCTTCAAGAAGAAACATGAACTAGACTAGTTACATCCCCAAAAGTCTTACATTTGCAACAACCATTCCCAGACGCATTTCTCCACACCATAAGCATTCTTGCAAATTATCCGCTCTTTGCATGAGAGAAACCTCATGAATTCTTTAGAGCTGCATCCTGAAGGGACTATTTGTCCAGAAACAGAGGCCTCCTGGGAGCTGGGTGGGGGTGCACAGTGCAAGCCACCAAGCCTGGGGGCAAACCTCTCTTCCCTCCCATCCAGGTGACCAATCACCCAACACACAGTGAATTAACAGCGATAAAAGTTCAAGTGCAGCAGAGAAAATGAGCTCCTCCCAGGTAACCCAGAGAGTGGAAGAAGCTGCCACCACTGTTGCTTGAATTCTTCCTCTACAAAGCGTAATTCTCAACTCATTTGGTCAAACAGGCAAAATTTGCTGTTTGCTGAACAAAGGCCTAACTACCCATAGTTCACTTCCCAATGAGAACCCATCTGCCATCATTCAACGCTGCCTCAGAAGCAACAAAATCATAATTAAAAAAAAATAAATCCAACAAATATGACCACTAATCTAAAAGCCTCTAACAAACTCAAACATCTCTTATACTTTGCAACGGGCCCAGCTTCAAAGATACCCTGATTCAAAACAGTTCTTAGACGCACGCATAAGATGCCTGGGATAAGCCAAACAAAGCCAGTTTCTAAATGTCTTAATCTTTTCACCAAAATAGAAGCGGCAGAAAAAGAACAAAACTAGTAGATTATAAATAAAAGCTGGCAGCAAAAGTGAACAGAAGGACTAACTGACCTGACTCGAGATTGGATTTGGGTCTTAATACCCTCAATGAAGTTACCAGCATTGGGTTACAAGAAACAAATGCATTAAGCTCTTTCAGGCTGAATCACTGCATAGCCCCACAAATACACAGACTATTTTGTAGTATCTACTCAGGAAGCCTTGAGCAGCAGAAGGCACTTCCACAGTTGACTGAAATGTATTCACACAAACGTAAAGAACTGCAAAATGCCTGCCAAGTGCATTGTATTAGCTGTCAAAATGCTGCAGGAAAAGGTACAGCTCAAACAAGGTAATAAGAAACATTCACATTTTTGTGTCTGAAGGAATGAAAAACTTCCTTAATGAAAAACTCACAAATATAATCGGAAGAAGATATACGTACATTGCTTTTAAATGGAAGAGCTAAACCGCCCAGCCAGCTGATAGGATTGTTTACAAGCTGGTAAGGCAAATGAGACGCACAGCGCAGGAAACCTTTGTTCAGCAAAGCTGCAGGGCGAGCTTAACCATGTGAGGGACAAAAGACGCGATTTGGAAAGGTGATGTCAAAGGCAAATTTTTAGGCCTTCGGATGCAATGCGACGACGCTTCTCCACACAGTGCCCGGCCCTGGGAAGACGCCAAGAAGCCCCCGTGTCTGTGGGCTGTGTCAGTGCAGGGAGCGAACAGCGGGTGCGCCGGAGGAGCCTCTCTCGTGTTACCCAGCCGGC